AAGTTGACTGAGCAATTAAGCCCAAGGAGTATCTCTATACTTAATGACCTAAGCCCAATTGGGTTGGGATTCATTGGCCCAAAACTCGTTAAATGGTCACTTAGAAAGCCCGTTAAAATAGAAAACAATCACCAAGAATTAGAGAGTGAAAAAAAAATTATATAACACTAACCATTGTTTTTATATATTGTTGTTTTGTATATATATGGTCTTGAAAAATAATTTTTGATCAAGAGACTTGAAAGTTATTTAAAACAAAGAGTTGGCATGTTCTTTTCAAAACTTTTTAATTAAATTTCTAAGATTTGACTTGGTCTTGTATTGCTATAATGAAAAAGATTTTCTAGGGGATTTACATTGGAGTTATATATAAAAACGTTTTCTTGATTATTAACTAGCTTCAATTAGAATGTTTAAATATATCAAGGAAAATCTGTTATTTACTGACTTATTTAACTTGGCAAGTTGACCGAATTTTGTGGGTATATTCACTGCAACCCCTCACGAGACTATAACTCGTCCACTAGGGTAACCTAGGGGTTTAAAGGCTTGTTGTATACGCTAAATACAACCGCGATTCCTGCGAAAGTGAGTTAGGATTTTCTTTTTATTTCCTTTGCTAGAGGACTAGCAAAAGTTTAGGTGTGGGGGTATTTGATGATCACATTTTATTACAATTTTATACCCTTATTATCTATTCTATATGAATAATTATACCACTAATAACTGTATTTATCTTTAATTACAGGTTAATGAAGAATAAATCTCAACTTCTCATCTCTCAACAAAAACTCATTGATTAAATGAAGAAATGATTCAAGAAGCCAAAGTGAAATTTTCGAATTTAGCAAAAAGATTACACAAGGGAAACAAGACCGGATGCAAACAAGATTGGATTTTTATGCAAAGTTGGAATGAAAGGGACTTGAATGCAAAAATGTGGATTTTAATGAATGAGGCCGGCTTGCTTTTAATTGCTGCAAATGTTAAAAATCAATTGTCATGGGCCGAACTTAATGGGCAAGTTGTTTCAATGGGCCTGATTTAAATAACCGGACTTTGCTTTTGAAAGTTTTAAATGAAGCATTCATGGGCCAAATTCACTTGAAGTGCTGCAAGCTTTAAATGTCATGGACCTTGAGGTTGCTGCAGTTCTTCACATTTGATTTAGAAAATCAAATAAAGACTACATGACCGGTTTGTTTTGAATTTGAAAATCTAAATGGACTTGGTTGCTTCTTGGGATTTAATGCAAGGGGTCGGACATGCTTGCTGCAGTTCAAGTCCAACTCAAGAAGTGGGCCTCTAGGGAACCAGAGCCGGATTTTTTATGCAACTCAAGTCCAACTCAAGAAATCAAACTCCTAGGTGACAAGAAATCAAACTCCATGACCGGATTTTCTTCAAATCAATGGGCCGAAAATCACATATATGGGCCGCTGCAGATGTAAAAATCAAATAAATCATATGGACCTCCTATATTTGGGCTAGAGAAGAACAAAGAGCAAATTCAATGGTGGAGATTGTGGCTTGGGACTCAAGACAAATCCAATGGCTCATATTCATTGAAGATTACTATAAATAGGGGTAGAGAGTGAGGGGTTAGAGGTGTGAAAATTTTGTAAACTCCTTTTGGAGAGGATGGCTACTCTTAATTGAGAAGGCCTTCCAAAAATTGTAACTTTAGTTGCAATTAATAAAAATAATTTTTTCCTCTTTAAATTTGTTCTTTCTCCTCTTGTTGAATGATGAGGATGGAGATGAAGAGCAATTTAAAGGTTTGCATTTCTTTTCTCTTTTATTTCTTTTTTGTAATTTCTTTATTATTGCTTATTAGTTAGATTTAAATTCATGCTTGTAGTATAGATTTACTTTCTTGTCTTTTTTATTTTCTTTTTGCACTTTAATTTATAGAGTAGATTTATTTTTTTTGCATTTAATTTCTGCAATTCATTTTGTAGTTTAGATTTTTATTTTCTTTGTAATTAGATTTATTTCTTGTTCATAGTTTAGATTTTTCTTTTCTTTTTAATTTTGTAATTAGTCTTCTTTTTCTTGTTTTTATTTCTTAAGATGTGAATTTAATTCTTGTAAGAATCTTAGAATTGTATGAAACTAGTCTAATTTCTTTTATATTGTATGAATTATTCTCTTGTACTTAAAATGTTCATGTTTAGGATAATCAACTAGAGAACTAATCGGTAAAAGAAGAATTTGATAATCTATGCTTATCTTAAATGGTTTGATAGGTTATGCTTATGAATTCTAGGATTATTATCATGTTGTTGTTCTTATCATGAATAGTAATTTTAGCTTAGATGATAATTTGATAGGTTACACTTTCCTTAAATGGTTTGATAATCTATGCTTAATAAATCTAAGTTGAAATATGATAAAAAGAGAATAATTTATATTTTGTAATTGAAATTGGTTAGTGGATTATATTCTAGATTTCTTACTTCTTTTGAATCCTCCATCTTGACTTTATTAAATTTTTTTTTTCATTCTTGGTTTTATTTCTTGATTTTATTCATTCATCTTTCTTGCCTTGTGATTTCATTTATTCTTTAATTCTTCCTTCTCTCCTCTAAAATTCAATTTATTATCTTTTGCATATATTCATAACAATCACTCAATAAAATCACACTTATTCTTTATTCCTAATTGTCACGCACAAAATATAAGAACCAAGTTTAATAATCTCTTAAAATCACCTTCCTCGTGGGATCGTTATCTTTTTATACTATAACTTGATAAATTGTGCACTTGCAATTTTTGGTACATAATTATGCCGCATCACTTCTTCTACAGTCTGAGCGATCTAAGCGATTTCTGACCATCTCTTGCACTTTTATCTGGTGATCATCAAATCCATGGCATCTTCATCTTCAGTAGCTCAAAACGAGGCTCGGATGAATCATCTCCAAAAATTCCACTCTAAGGTGCAGCCAACGCTGCTGTAGACTTACTACGATAAGTTCGACATCCCTTGGGCATTCACTCTATTGGCACCGGAGAAAGGTCAAGCTGTGTACAATCACGGTGATAATGTTGCTCCGGTGTACCTCAAGCATTTGGAGTATGGACTACGTCTTCCGCTCCACCCTTTTCTCCACCGTGTCTTCGAAGCCCTAGGAGTTTCGCAATGGCACATGAAGCCAAACTCCATCACTACTCTAGTGGGGTTTGTGGTCATCTACAATAGATTGGGGGGTCAAGCCAACATTGAGAGTTCTTGATCATCTCATCAGCATGAAGGTGAATTAGCAAGAGGGCCATTACTATCTCTAGGTCTTAGGCAGCCGCAAAATCATCTCTGATGCCCCCGAATCTAACAAGAACTGGAAGGAGAGATTCATGTGGTTCTTTAGAGGCAATGCTATCTTGGCCTGCCCATTGTGACCTAAGATCGACAAGGATGCACTGGGCCAGATCTGCTATCAAATGATGAGAAGTGAGAGCTCGAGAAGATCAACTCTTACACCAGTTCCCATCAGAGCGAGAACCTTTTTGACAACTTGATACTATAGGTTGTTGGTATTTTCTTCAACTCCCCAATTAAGAATGATGAGACTCAATCGGTAGTGCTGGCACTATGGCTAGAGGAAACCGAGATGTCCCCAGTGTCGCCCTACCTCGATCTCAAAGGGGGCCATTGGTGAGGCCCCAGAAGCGCCTACGGTCTGATTTGGCCCTATAGGAGGCCAAGAAGATTGTAGTGAATACGACCAAAATTGTAGCTCGGCTCACTAGGCCAAGTTTACTACCGCCAAGACCGAGAGGTCTGAGAAGAAGAGGCGGCGGCTAAGGAAAGTGGGTAGCCGAGGCCCCTCTGGATGCGCCAAACTAGCAAAGGATGAGGAGGGGGCTACAGTGGAGGAAGTCAATCTTGCTCCTACCCAAGAAGTTATGGAGGGCGGAGTTTCTGTTGCTCCCATCCTAGAGAATCCTCAGATTGAGTCTGCTAATATCATCATTGTTGATGATGAGTCCCCACACGAGCTAAAAGGGGCAAGATGGTGGTAGCCGAGCCTTTAGGGGTTTAGTCTTAGCCCGAGGAGGAGACAGTCCATGTCCCACATACTGAGTTAGCTCATCGTTAAGATAAGGAGCCAGCTACAAAAGAAATGCCCTTGGCTTGGATATTTGAATGGCCCTTCCTCTATCATATCGATGAGCTCGATGTAGAGGCATGTGGTGAGCTAAAGATTATGCTGATGTGATCGTCTAAGGTCGGCCCTTGATATGACAAAGAGCCATCCGAGGAGCATGGGTTCATCCCTGGGCGGCATTTTGATAGAAGTGGATCGGCCCTAGAGTCCAAAATAGCTCAAGCTAAGGCTTTGGACCATTTTCCTTGAACCGTGATGACGAAATCCTTTCGGCCAAGCTAGACAAAGGCCTTCATAAGGCCTTGATGCAGCATAATTATGTACCAAAATTGCAAGTGCACAATTGATCAAGTTATAGTATAAGAAGTTATCGATCCCACGAGGAAGGTGATTTTAAGAGATTATTAGAATAGGTTCTTATGTTGTGTTCGTGAAAAAATAGGATTAAAGAATAAGTATGATTATGATGAGTGATTGTTGTGAATATATGCAAGAGACAATAAATTGAATTTTAGAGGAGAGAAGAAAGAATTAAAGAATAAATGAAATCACAAAGCAAGAAAGAAGAATGAATAAAATCAAGAAATAAAATCAAGAATGAATTTTTTTTTTAAGAAAGTCAAGATGGAGGATTCAATTTAAGATATGAGAAATCTAGAATTTAATCCACTAGCTAATCTCAATTACAAAATACAAACTATTCTTTTTTTATCATATTTCAACTTAGATTTACTAGTATGCCACACGTGCGTTGCACGTGACGCATATTAAGAACAACAAGAGTTTACATATTTGAAGGTCAATTAATTTTTCATTCATCAATTTTACAATTATTATTTATTAAATACATTTTTTGTATAGAATATATGATACAAGTGCATGCTATAACGCAAAGCTTTCTCTTGAATATATAAAGAAACTTTCATTTCTATATATAAAAAAGTATATATTCTAAATCATCTGTTAGTGCAAATTTAGAGACTAATGAACATCAAACATCTGTTGCATCCCCTGACAAATTCACATTTGAAGAAAATAGGAAGAGCACTCAGGTTTCCCTAGAGAATCATCATGAGAGGAGTCCAATCACAGATACTGCATCGAGTGAGAGTCGAGGCCTGGAGTATCCTTGTCAAGAAAATTTGCAGCATAATGTTGTAATCAATTTCAAAAAAAAAAACAGCTGCACCTGAAAAAACAATCGAAGCGGTTATTTCTTTAAAACTTCAAGGCAGCAAGGAAACAATATCACACTCTGATCAAAATGAAGGAATCAAAGATCACATGAATCATGCGGAACATTCTACAAGAACTTCTGAACAATCTGGTGGCATGTCCACCTTCTACCAATATTTTCTTCTTCTGAGTAATGGATTCATTCATAACATGAACAGTGTCTGCAATGTAAGGCTCAAGTCTTTCTGCAAACCTCATTGCTATATTTAAAACCTCAGAACCTTAAAGTTGCATCGTTCAGCGGAATCTCAAGTTTATCATGAAAGGTATTCATATGCCTCAGATCACAAACTCTGATCCCATTACGGATAGTCTTGCTTGAATAGCAAGGCCCGATTCCTCTCTTGGTAGTCCGATGAATGAGTTTACAAGTTCAGCTTCTCGTAGCCCATCTACAACTTGATGGAAATCAAACAACAAATGTGCTAGCAATGCACTGAGCTAACCCCAATGGCATGAGTTGCATGTGAGGAGGCTTTCATGTACGGCTTCGTTTGAAGTGCTATGTCTTCTTTATTATGTAAGCTGGATCCAAATGGCCCCTATATCAATCATAGTCGACATTATCAATACCTAATTAGCATTAGATACTTCTTTTTAGCACTAAAAAAATGAACTACTAACCCCCATTTGCCCAGCAAAATGTTAATATACGGAGGAAATCAACTAATATGTATAGTTGCTTTCTAGAAAAATTTGAGGGAGTACTTGCAAGTTGACAAATATGGATTTAGGTTAATGGTGCCAATTCTCAATCAGATAAGATATGATGCTTTTATCCTATCTGATATGTGATGCATAATCAAATTATGTTGGAAGTATGAAAGTGACGTGTATGTCTAAATGTAGCTTCAAAGTAGATACCCTTTTAATTCTTTCAAGCTAACAAAACACACAAACTAATATAGTTCTGCAGTTGCAAATGAATTATTAATTTGGTCTTATAGCTGATGCAATCAGAGTTATCGAAAGATGGTAACTATGATACGCATATTTCTTTGAGCTTTCATTTTTCTTATTAATTTCTGTACATTAACTGATCCAACAAATAGTGAAGCGTGAAGGAAATGTAAACTAAAACTGCACCAGTTCATGGAGATATTTTACTTATCAAATGCTGTTAACAGTGAGAAATAAAACTGCACCTCTTCCAGTTCATGGAGATATTTTCTTCATACAAGGATGTCAACGTCAATGAGTTCTCATCCATGCAGGATGCCTTCCAAGTATTTATTGAGAAGGCAAAATCATCTCTTTGTCATCTATGAAATCACAACCTAAAAGCTCATATTTTGAAATCCCTTTGGATAATTCAATTTACTTAAGAACTTGACACTTTGTTATCATGGGATTTCTATGAGATCACAACTTAAAGCTCATATTTTAAAGGGGGTACAGTACATAGTATTATTATCTACACTCACCAATACATATATTATAGCAAGACTATAGCTACCTGTAAGTATGTGCAAAATCCAGACAAAGTATTTCAATAAATCAAAGCATCTTATGTTGCACGAGTGTGGGCATTGAAAACATAAATGCAGGAAGATAATACACATAAGTTAACATAGTAATTGTACCACTAATAAAACGGCTAAATACCCATATTGGTATTTTAATTCCACCATATTTACCAAGAAGGTATTTTAATTAGGCAAATCTGCTTTAAGGTATTATAATTGATTCAACTTACCAACAAGACCATTTTTCTCGTCGGCGACCAGTTTTCCGGCGAGAGCTCGTCACGTGTGTGACATGTGATGACTTAAAATGTTATTTATCTGCTGATGTGGCACGGATCTGTCCTATTTTGGGTGAATTGGGATTTTTAGAGGGTTAATTCCCGTATTTAAACACTGTCACGTCAGAAAATCTGTGTCACATCGATCAGCAGCTAAAAAACAGTTTAAATCATCACGTGCACGTACGTGACGAGCTCTTGCCGAAAAACTGGTCGCCGACAAGGACATTGTTGGTAAGTTAAACCAATTAAAATGCCTTAAAGCAGGTTTGCCTAATTAAAATACCTTCGTGATAAATAGGGTGGAATTAAAATATCAATATGGGTATTTAGCCCTAATAAAACTATTGTTGTAATACACAAACTATATAAACCATTACTTTTGAAAAGGAAGTGTACCTTGTTTTCCTTGTTGGTTGTTCTTAATCTTTATACCTTAAAAAAGGAAAATATAAAGTTAGTATCATCTCTTATGCATTTGTTCAAGGTAACAACTGTTCAATTTTATACTGAAGACCTATAAAAGGTCATGGCTTTTCATCTACAAAGGTCCAGTTCTCTCAAGAAAAAAAATAAACAAGTACTAAAGGATCTAAAGGTACTGTATGGCATCTAAATAGAGTGCATTATGAAATAAGGAGATACTCTATGGGATATTAAAGGGCAAGTGATGAGACAAATCACATTGTTAAAGCAAAAATCGCATTTCAGACTCTGTGCTTAGAATGTCTGAAGTGCAGGAACATTGAAAATTTTGAAAAGAGAACATAAATTAACATACGAAAAAAGAAATCTAAGAAAATAAAAGACAAATAAGAAAAATAATATACTTGCATGAGTTAAGACATAGACAAATGCACACAGACACCCGCACCAAAAATAAATACACAGGAGGGACAGGGAAAGGAACATCTGTGAGTTTTATACAAAATAGAAAATAGATCCAACTCTTTCTACTTGCCCATCTATTTTGTGCAAACTTGATGCAGTTTTATACAAAATAGAAAATAGATCCAACTCTTTCTACTTGCCCATCTATTTTGTGCAAACTTGATGCATGAACGAGAGAACTCAAATCTTTCTACTTGCCCATCTATTTTGTGCAAACTTGATGCATGAACGAGAGAACTCAAATCACTTCATTTTTTGGTTTTTATGCACTGTAAATTTTAACCAGGTTGAACAGGGTACAATTTGAGACTTTGAAGCAAATGGCTGAACTGTTCATTGCTTAATTCGCTGATACATGTCTTGAGTCTACAGCCCAACAATCAATACCCAGACGTAAGCAGAAAGGAAGATGGTACTAAACCATTGAAATATAACCAAAGATTGAAGAAGTTGGTAGTACAATTTCCAATAAACAAAAGGACCTGATCAGTCAAAGACAAAGGCGCTGTTAAGCCATAGTCTATTTATTCAAAGAATAATAAATTTTATGCTTTCCAGCTAGCAGAAGCTTAACCCAAAGTCTTAAATGAAGCCGACCAAATCAACCTTCGGTCGGGATGTAACTTGCCACCTTGAGAGGGAAAGTGGAATGAAGTGATTTGAAAATGTATGCACTGAGCATCATAATCCCAAATAGATCATTGTGTGTGGTTCTGATAGTTGCTGATGTTTGATCATTCGCACATGCTAGAAGTTTTCAACCTATTTGATTTCAACGTGCATAGGTATTGAGATTAGACTGAACAGTTGGGATTATGTTGGGAGGTTCCAAGGCATGTTTTCACCTTTGTGAATTTCCTATTACACTTAAAGCTTTGTTCACAAAAGGAAATGCATACCCAAACATTCATGCACACATAGAAATACACTTTCCGAATTATGACACGTTTTTGGTTTCAAAAAAGAATAAACTAAATTACACAATGATGCCTTAAATTTTCATCATCACTACGACTAACATATCTGATGTTCATTTTCTACAAGATAATACCATGGCATTTTTTTACAGAATGCACCTGCACTCTTATGGTGGTAAAGATAAAGATAAAAAGCCCAGGTTATCAAATTTTAATTTTATACCTGATAAAATATTTTAAAGTTAATTTTTTAAAACTTTCTTTTTTTATTTATATGGCTATCTAGACCATACAAGATAATTTATTAAACATATTGTAAATAGAAATTTCCGTTTTTTATTTATATGGCTATCTAGACCATACAAGATAATTTATTAAACATATTGTAAATAGAAATTTCCGTTGTATCAATATGGCTATCTAGTAGATACAAGATAGTTTGTTAAACTTAGCCAATAATGAGATGGATGTAGTTAGTTTTATGGCTACAATTCAGGAAACAAGATGCATCACGCTTACTGAAAAAGATGTTGTCCAAAACAAGTGCTATGTTGTCAAACAAACAAGCCAACAGATGCTGAACAAACATACAGAACCAAAATAGAAAAAACTCCATCACTTACATATTGTTGAATCAATAGAGAGTCGGTGGAAGAGACAACATTCATGAGCTTTGAGTCCTTGATCCAACAACAATGAAACGGTTCTGCATGAGAAAGTTATTTGAGTCAAATGACTGTAAGAAATCTCCTATTAGATACTGCAGAGAATGATGTTTTTTAAATATGTGATGTGAAAACCATATCTTATCATAATCATAATCATAACCACAATCATAAATCATAAATGAATATAAAATTGATCATGCAACATAATAGAGATAAATAAAAATTTAATTTACCTTGATAGCTTTCTACACTTCCTATCAATCCCATACACCTGACAGCAACAATCATGAATAAAAAAAATAAAGGTATGCAATCAAACAAATAGCCGAAGAATATGAATAAGAAATTACCAATACCCATACTTACAATTGGAAACAAAAACCTTATTTGCTCCATCAAAATTGAAGTAGAACATATTTATAGAGTCACAAAATAATTGCTATGGATTGGAAAGCCCTAGCAATTACTACCAATTATAGTAACGTACGATAATGAGGGAAGGATGCGGACATTGCCAACGGTTGAAAATGGAAGGAATTGATGTGAGGAGGTCGATCGTAGAACTAAGGATGAATTTAGAGAGTTCGCTGTCATTGAGAAACAGAGGAGAATGAAGCGAGGAGGCCGAAGGGATTTGGGCGTTATCAAAGAGAGAGGGAGATGGTAAAGAGATTTGAGCGTTATCGAAGAAAGAGGGAGAGGGGCAGGGGAGAGAATCGGCTTTGGCGTTATCAAAGAGAGGGAGAGGGGCAGGAGAGAGAGCGGCTAACGAAGGGAGGATGTAGAGTCGGGCGTTATGAAAGAGGATTAGGGGGAAAAGGGATAAAATATATATAGGATAAAATTAGAATTAAGAAATTTGCAGAGGGCAATTTGGGTATGGAAAAGTTTTGACTTTGGTTTTCTCTTTTAGAAGTAGTATAGATTAAGCATAGACTATCAAACCATTTAAGGAAAGTATGACCTATCAAATTATCATCTAAGTCAAAATTACTATTCATGATAAGAACAATAACAAGATAGTAATCCTAGAATTCATAAGCATAACCTATCAAACCATTTAAGATAAGCATAGATTATCAAATTCTTCTTCTACCGATTAGTTTTCTAGTTGATTATCCTAAATGTGAATATTTTAAGTGAAAGAAAATAACTTACATAACATAAAGGAAATTAGACTAGCTTCATATAATTCTAAGATTCCTACAAGAATTAATTTCACATCTTAAGAAATAGAAACAAGAAGAAAAAGAACTAATTACAAAATTAAAAGGAAATTAAAAATCTAAACTATGAACAAGAAATAAATCTAACTACAAAGAATTAAAATCTGCACTACAAAATAAATTGCAAAAATTAAATGCAAGAAAATAAATCTACACTACAAGCATGAATGTAAATCTAACTAATAAGCAATAATAAAGAAATTACTAAAAAGAAATAAAAGAGGAAAATAAAAGAAATGCAAACCTTCAAATTGCTCTTCATCTCCATCCTCATCATTCAACAAAAAGGAGAAAAGATAAATTTAAAGTGGAGAAAAAATTATTATTATAAATTGCAATAAAAGTTATAATTTTTAGAAGGCCTTCTCAATTAAGAGTAGCCCTCCTCTCCAAATAGAGTTATAAAATTTTTCACACCTCTAACCCCTCACTCTCTACCCTTTTTTATAGTAAACATCAGTGAATGAGAGCCATTGGATCGAAATCTTATCCAAAAACATTAATTTTCAGCCATAGATCTGTAACTAACTGTACGTCGTATCGATGCCAACATCGATAGGCGTATCGATGCTGGCATCGATAAGGGCATATGTCCCCATCGATGCTGGCATCGATGTCCCTATCGATGCTGGCATCGATGTGGACCTGCTTCTGGTTGTTGTCCGAAGATCCTCTTGTGTTTGTTCTTGGGCTTGGGCCTTTGGACTTTTTCTTGGCTTTTTGGGCTTCAACATTTGAACTTTGGCATTTTCTCTTGATTTTTCACTGGGCTTTGATTTATTTCTTCATTAAATATTTGAAATAATTCATTTTGCTTCATGGGCTTCATTTCTTCATTAAATCAATGGCTTTTTGTTGAGAAATGATAGTTTTGAGATTTATTCTTCATTAACCTACAATTAAAGATAAAAACAATTATTAGTAGTATATTTATTCATATAAAATAGATAATGAGGGTATAAAATTATAATAAAATATGATTATCAAATACCCCCATACCTAAATTTTTGCTAATCCTCTAGCAAAGAAAATTAAAAGAAAATCCTAACTCACTTTCGCAGGAATCGCGATTGTATTTAGCGCATACAACAAGCCTTTAAACCCTTAGGTTACCCTAGTGGACGAGTTGTAGTCTCGTGAGGGTTTGCAGTGAATATACCCACAAAATTGCAATTAAAGATAAAAACAATTATTAGTAGTATATTTATTCATATAAAATAGATAATGATGGTATAAAACTGTAATAAAATATGATTATCAGGCCTCAAGGGCTACATGCTTTAGGGGGCTTTGTTCAAGTAGGAGTTATCTGCTCGATTTGAGCATCTACGAGACCTCTACCTCAAGCTCTAGGAAGAGATGGAGGCTAAGAAGGCGGCTTGGGAGGCAGTTGACCTAAAATTGGCTACCAAGGACTGGAAGAGAGGCCAAGGCAAGCTAGAGTGGGAAGTCGAGATCCGGTATGACAAAAAAAAGGGCTTGCTAAATTCAAACAGCCAGAAGTCGTCCCAAATAAAGAAGCTTCAAGAAGACCATGGTCACCTCGAGCACGAGCTTCATGAGTGAGATGACACGACTAGTATTTGAAGGAGGAGATTAAGGTCGACAGAAGATCACTGATGCTTTCGAGCGAACTCGACTGGCTCATCAGAATGCTAAGGTTCTACATGATCAGCTAAAGGAGGCGGAAATCACTTATGAGAAGTCGATGCAGGAGGCCACCCAAGTTGCCTTGGAGGCTGAGCGACAACGCGAGTCATCTCTCGCTAAAATATAGGCGCTGCTGGGTTGCCTCAACCACTTGGAGTCTGAGGCTTGCTAGTTTGAGATCATTGAGAATCATCGTGATGACACTCTTAGAAGGTGGAGGTGGCCCTCGCCTATAAGGCCGGATTTGACTATCTGAAGATGTAGCTTCTAGTTGAGCTGAAGATCAAATCCCGAGCGGTTCCACTATCCTTCTTGAGAGGCTAATTGCCTTAGCGCTCCAAAGGAAACAGGAAAGGAGAGAGGCTTGTGCTCGATGTCGAGAATGGGGATGAAGATGATGAAGAGTTGGCTCATGGGATAGGCAAGGACTCGGTCCAGGATGGCGGTCTGAGGAGGAAAGGGATAAAGAGGTTGGGTCCGAGTCTTGTCATCCCCTCCGTCGACTTCTACTATTGTTGCCCCTCCAAGCTCGAGTTTTGCTCCAACTTCTAGTGCCACTCTAGCTTCAAGTCCTGCGCCTGCTCCAAGTTTGGCATTTTAGGGGCTCATGTAATTTTTTCTTCTTTTTTGTTTTTGTAAATACTTTGTAAATATCTTTTGTATTGTAAATATCTTTACATATGAATAAAAAGATGCACTTTTGTCGATTTGATTTGTGTACCCTTGTGATTGTGTTTTCATATGTTTAAGTATCTGCACTTTACTTTGACCGAGTATTATTTTGGGTTCAATTTTTAGGGGCGTTTCGAATGCATGCTAATGTCTTGAGAAACTCTTAGGTTGAGGTGGCGCGGCTTCGTGCCTTGGTTTTATTCTGAAGGGATACCAAGGTTTTACGATTCAAAGTCGACTGAATTGGAGACGTGTCTTGGTTTTGTCCTGAATGGGTACCAAGGTCTTGGGTACATGCCTTGGTTTTTTCCCGAATGAGTACCAAGGTCTTGGGTACATGCCTCGGGTTTATTCATGAAAATGATACCAAGATCTTTGTGTCAAAACCTACCGAATTGATGATGTGCCTTGGTTTTATCCCAAATGGGTGCCAAGGTCTTGGATCTTCATTGTTGAGTTGATGAAGATCGAGTGGCAAGAACTGCATATGGTTTAGTACACGGTACAAATTATTTCTTATTTACAAAAGGGTTTGTACGGTTTAATGATATTTTGTAGCGGTGTTCTATGAAATGATTTGCATTTTATGACAACCCTACCGTTGATCTCTCTTGTCGGCCCTGTTTCACTTGGAGTAGATTTTAGGGGGATCCTTCTATCCTTGAGAGGACTCTGCTTTAGCTGTTGCTTTTCTAGCCACCTTCTTGTGAGCTCAACTATTTTCTGCATCCATGTGTCCTCGAGCTCTGACCATTAGCTGTTAAAAGTTGGTCACCAGGTCTATGGCGAGTGTGTCAGCCAACTTGTCATCCTCTAGTTCTGCAGAGATTGCGGCCATGGCGATCATGTTGCTAAGGCCTTGAACTTCTAGCCTTTTGTCTTGGAATCTCTTGAAATAATCCCTGAGACTCTCCCCGGGTCTCTGTCTTATATACAGCAAGAAGAGGAGGGTGCGTTTTGCTTGGAATCGGCCAAAAATGATATGAAATTTTTTAGCTAAGTTGTTTGATGCTGTGGATAGACTTTTTGTCCAATGAGTTCCACCACATCTTAGCACTTCCCGTCAGGGTGATAGGGAAATCACAATAGATGATTAGATCACTCACTTGCTACATGAGCATCAGATCATAGAAGTTTTGCGCGTGCTCTACCGGGTCTCCCTCACTATTGTATTTCTCAATATGCGGCATTTTGAACTTGGTGCATGAAGTGTTCATGATCATGTCAGCAAGCGGAGTGTTCCCACCGATGGTATCTATGACGATGTTGAATGTTCAATCGTAACCAGATGAAAAATTATTGGTGGAGTGGCCTGGAGCAGTGTGGAGGTATCTGGTGCCGTGTGGCATCGTCCATGTGGCATGCTCATGGCCGAGACTGGGACTCTCACCGGTTGACTCCATATACTACGGCAGTTGTCGTGAATGTGCAACCAAATGAGTCTGTTGGCAAGGTGAAGGAGAGCTGTATTCAGTGCTTTCCTCCTGTGCTCGCTGTTCAGATTGGCCTCCAGGGGAGGAGCAACAAACGGTGGAGAAGGTTGCTAGGGAGGAATCCTGTTGAGAAGTTCAGTTATGAAGGAATCAAACTGTTGTTGAAGATATCAAGAGATCTTTTGGGCGGATTCCTCTAGTTGGGCTTGAGTGAAATAGCTCGCATTATGTGTTTTTTTCGTAGGAGGAATTGAAGATCGATCTAGGTGATCAAAACCAGCCATCTTGTAAAAAGAAGAAAAATGGCCCACTGTGGGCGCTAAACTGTTGATGCACAGATGATTAATAGCAGGATTTAAGGTTGATTTTAATAGGTTAGGGTCCTGTGATCTCCTTTGATGGCTGATCCTCCGATAGGAAGAGAGTCCTGCATATGTGCAACACGTTAGAGGGCTGAAGTTTGGTTCTCTGATGAATCCTACGACGATCAAGTTAGTTATAATCTGAAGGGGAGGAAAAAATTGTTATAGATCTTTAAGTGTGTAGAAATTGCATACTTTTGGTCAGTAGGCAATGTGAATACTTATACCGAGCTGACAATGGTATTTATGTAATCTCGCCCACGTCCAGGCAGTCAGCTTATTCAGCTGAAACCATACAGGTGTCGGCCATGTATGGAACGAGTCACTCTTGTGATCAATGAGATGGTGACAAGGGAATTACAGTGCCAACAAGGTTCGATGAGTCATTTACACTTTTCAGGGAGGATGTAATGATGACTTCGACTGTGCATTGTGATGGGGATTGGCTATCGACGAGGGGTCCGAGAACGATTGTCTTTTGTCTCGATTTTGCAAGAGGGTTGACGAAAGAAGCCTTTCTTCTTGACCGTCGAGGAGACGAGAATGGACACATTTCATCTCGACCTTTAAGGAGAACGAGAAGTTGGTGTATCTAGGCCAAATCGGTGTGTAGTTTGCCTGAGACATGTGTCAACCAGTTGAATGAGATTAAAATTTGGTCATTTCTATGGCACAACAACTCATTTATCCCGACTTATTTTGGTGGCTTATAAGTTATCAAATTTTGCCAAGTAAAAAAGACTAATTTACCGCTTATCTTTTAAGAAAATTCCAACCCCTATTTCTCTATCTCCAATCCCATAATAAGCTACTCATTTGTCAAACACTTCACTGCTAAAAATAGATTATAATCCACTAAATTTATCAAACACTTTAAATTATAATCCGTTAAATGTCTACTTGTCAAGATAGCTGTTTGTTTCTTCATTGCATCTCATCACTTGACTCGTCCAGCTATCTACGCCCAGAAAAGACACGGGTACCCACAAGTCAAAGCTCTTGTTCACCATCACCCAAAAGCCCAACTCCAGCAAGAAAATAATAAAATTAAAATAATCCCTTCCTGAAACCTCCACTATGATTTCTTTGTTCGCTCACCCTTACAATGAATCCGCCCACGTCAATCCAGTAAATTAAAAAAAGAAAAAAAAAATGGAGAACT